GGGGGCGTCGTTTATTATTAGGGGAAGCGATTACAAAGTATGTTTAATGGTTGTTTTTACTATTTCTTGGGTTTGGGGGCAAATTTTTCTAGGTCCAGGTAGCAGTCAAGCGACGCTTACCCAAGCGGATGTCTACACCCCATGCTAAATTGATAGCGGCCAGCCTGTTCATTGAAGCGCTATTTTTCATGAAGGTTATAATTCCCTCCGTAGCTCAAACCGCAAAAATCATCCGTGCTTTATGACTGCTGCTCCAGCCATTCCTTTCCACCCTTTTCCACGAGGTGTGTGCAGGCGTGAAAGCCCAGAGCGAGGCTGTAACATACATGATGGAGGGTAGCCATTTGCATTCCCCCAACTCCCAACCCAGCCTGAAAAAAGCAAAAAAGCTGCAAACCCTCCCTCACCCCTCTCTCCATCTGGCACGGGCTCATAGCGTTAGTTGTCTCTAGGGTGTTGCTCGGAGCTGTCCGCAGCAACTCTCCAGGAGGTGCCGATGGTGGAGGGACACGGTTCTAGTGTAGGCTTCAGCATTGTTGGTGTGCGACAGGGCGGATTTTAGCCTCGAGAGAGCTCTGGTTCCACAAGCCTTAGATTGAAAAAGTTTGCCTAAGAGACCTCATGTGAACTGTAGTCTAAGCTCCTTAAAGGGGGTCATATAGGGGATTATATAAGGGAGTATTATAGAGGGTATTAAGGGAGATACTAGGAGTTTAGGCTATGGCTCAGGTATTCGGAAACATATTTATTGGCAGGAGGTAGAAGGAAGCATCGTTGTTTTGGGACCGGTGGCCCGAGGTAGGGATTCCAGCTCCGGCGACAAGGCTCTCTCGGATCCGTTTCCGAAGGGTTCAGGTACCCAAAACAAAAGCAAACATGCAACAATCTATATTTTTTTGGTACCTAAAACCCTGATACTTTGCACGGGCACTGGTAGAGCTTTGTATTGTAGATTTGCATAGCAGGGAACACCAAGCTGGAAACATTCGACCCTCAACGCGACACCCTGTCCTGGAGCAGAGAGGGAAGAGGATGCCATTTCATTCTATTTCATAAGCCCTTCCCTAAGCCCTAACCCTTGAGATGCAGGAGACATGGGGCAGATCGCCAGCAATATTTGCGGCGGCGACGGTCGTCCTGCCGCTTGCTCAGTGCTAGAGAGAACTGGGGTTTGAGGGATTCAAATGCTAAAGGCCGAGTGCGTAGCACAGAGGGCCTAAGGTGAGTATTGTATGAAGTCGGCATTGTAGGATGATGTAGGTGCGATGTTTGGAATGGTTGGATGCCAAACAACTTGCAGCAACTTGCACAATGGGATTCCGTCGACAAGGGTTTTTACTGGTGCTGGAGGGGGGGTTGGGGGTGGTTCCCGATTATTATCCCCATATACAATCCCCCTTTAGTTGTTACCATATCTTACATATTTTGCATATGCTCCATCTTCCGTCTCCGCATAAAGCACCAGTGAGGGAATCTTCTACTCCACCTTAAGGTCCAACAGTTTCACAGTAGGATGGGAATTCGTTTGTCAAGTAGGTTATGCTGAACTCAAAAGGTCCATGTAGCTATACAGTCTATACTTGGGCCCCAACGTAGGTATGTCAGGGAAGGTTTTTGGGCCTGAAGTATATACTATATTCCTACATGGCCTTTTTGGGGAAATGCTCTTGGGGCGTAGATCGCAGGTCATCAAGAATGACGTGACGTTGACCATCAAGAATGTGCCCACTGAGCCAATCGCTGGACAGGCTTCATGAGTTGGTCTGGGGCTGTACCTAAAAGCTTCTTCTGTGTACGATTCAGAATGGCTCCCATTCTCCATAAAATATATTTCTACATACGTATATATGTATTGAAATCATGGTCCGTGCGTACATTCACGCATTATTCTGCTTATCTCCCGTGTTGAGTACTAGACATACAACTTTTTGGTAGTTTCCCTAGATAGAGAGACCCCAATATCCCAAAACCATAATCCCTATTCTCCGGACCCTTGAAAATGTTCCCCTATATGTAGGAAACCAATGGAAACCCTAAGCCCTGAACCTACATACTCCATATATATTCCCCTATACAACCCGTTAAAGGGACCATAAATTAAGGAAACCCCTTGTTTTATGGCTATCAACCCGTCAGGCGCCTGGAACCAGTGGCTTGCGGAAGAAGACGACTCTTGACGGTCTTTAGGTGTGCTTGTAACCCTAGTGATTGATTTAGGTCTAGGATTCATGTTTTTCGCGTTTAGGGCTTTGGGCTTCGGACCTGCCAATTACCCAGAGTTTTATGGGTTATGCGCGCCAAAATGAGGCGGGGGGCTTATTACAACAAAGCTGTAGGTAATTGGGGTTACAGGTGCCAACACTTTGTATCGATAGTTGCGTTGCATTCATATCTCAAGCCTTGTTGACTCCATCTAGGTTTTGTTTTGCAAATTCCTGCTGCATAATTAGGGAGTGACGTGAGAGTCTGTGGAATTTGGCTCGCGCTGATACTTGGGGGTACTTGTGACGCCACATCTGCTGCTGGTCAGGCTCCCAACATGACTGTCACGAACCGGAGCAGTACGGTATTTCATTTCTTCACTTCCGATAGGTACTGTAGGTATTCTGCTTTCCAATGCGGTGCGGTACGGTATTCCGCTACACCCCCTACACTCCCCGCCCACACCCTCACACCCCTACACCTACACAAACTTTCGGGCTCAATCACATGACTGCGGTCTGTTTTTTCAATTCCCCTCCGGGACGCGGAAGATGCGGGCGATGTTCAAAGTCATGTGCTCCCTGTGTGCACAACTGGGGTACAGACCTAGCAGCTAGCACGACTTTCTTGAGCTCAAAAAAAGAGATTCCCAAAGCAACAACAGCGCACCCTTAATTAAGTAGATTGGGCATATGCGTAAGATCCCCATATACCCCATATTCTATCTACTTAGGGGGGGGGGCTATAAAATGCGGATCATGGACCAGGAAGGTTTTCATGGAGGGCAACTACCTTGCAAACTATGTCCAGAGTGCGCCTGGACTTGCATTCGAGCTTTCACATTTACATGCAGCTATATGAGCTGCGGACTAAATTTAGGTTGGGGGGGACCTAACGGGGGAATATATAGGGTTTGGGGGGGACCCATTAAGGGATATACTACAAATTTAGTCCAGGGCTCATATAGGGAGCTTAAAGCGTATGTAGGGATGGTACAGGGATATAGGGCCTCATATTGCAGAATCAAATGGAAAATAATATGGACAATGAAAGGGTGAACGGTGTGTAACAGGATGTCATATCCTAGATTGATTTCTTGTAGAACTATAACGTAGGATACCTCAACTAGACATTTCAATGATATGGGCAGTCAACTACCGTTAAAAAGGGCTCCAGGATTTTGTGACAGAAGTTTTTCAGGGGCCGCAAACGGCTTAATGCGTATCGGGTTCTGTTACTCCCCCGTCTCATACTACTAGCCATTAATTCAGCAGAGCCTTCAGATCTCTGACTTCGGTTCCGAGAAACCGATAAAGGATGCCCAAAACCGGATATCGAAACCAAAATGCATTGGGAAAGACCGCATGGGTTTAGGGTTTGGGGTGTGCTTCCACACCTCCACATACTGGATATGCCCGCTACTTTCTCGAGCTGCCCCAAAACTACACTAGGAGGAGGACGACGACCGCTACTTGCAACAGCCCTTCACGTTTCTAATTACTGCTGCTCCCCATGCTTCTGGATGAAGACCCTGCGTTCAGACACCAAGAAATCTGAAGTATTTTCATTGTCTCGCGGTGAAGGTGTTCAACACCCTCATTGAGGAGAACGTGCCTGTGCAGGGTGGGGCGCTGAACATTCTGGCCGATTGAAGTTCACTTGCTGGTTGCTAGTAGTGAATGCAGTAATGGGAATGAAAGTGGAAACTGCTGTATTGTTGGGGATTATATAGGGGCTGCTGTAAGGATCCGTTCATTTATGCCTTGCTTTCCAGCGTGTATTCTTACAGCTCATATCCTTAAACTCTAAGCCTAAGCCCTATTTGGAAACCCCAAGCCCCACACCAAAGATGGAAACCCTTAACCCTAAAATGGAAACTGTAAACCCTAAACCTTTTCGTAGAGGTCGTAGGGGGGGGGAACTCTGGGATCCTTCATTCCTTCGCCTGCTAGCAGCCGACAAGTGAAGGAGCTGAGATTCAGGAGCTTCGGATGCCAAATGTATAATCCGCCTTAAGTAGGTTACCTGGGGGTTATATTGGGATACTGGAAAAGAAAATGGAAACTACTAGATTACAAGTAGGTATATATAGGGGCTATAGTGCCCCTGGAGTAGATAGAATGTGCGGTATATGGGGATCTTATTATGGTATACCCAAAGCCATATTCTATCTACTTCAGGGGGGACTATAGCAATTTCAGCCTAGGGTTTCACAAGTTTTGGGTTCAGGGGCCTATGGGTTTAGGGGTTTTAGGGGTTTAGGCTTTGGAGTTTAGGGCCATGGTGGAGTTTGTCGATTGCACGAATTCACTCAACGTTGCTGTGTAAGCCCCCAAGCCCTTGCAAAGCCTTACATCCTGAACCGCAACCGCGGAACCAGGTGGGACTCTAGTGGTGTCTGGCGATGGGCGCTACTGGAACCCCGAGGCAATCCAGATCATCATCAAGCTCCTTTGATTTCTTAGTATCTGAGGTAGCCTCAAGCTCCCAGAAAATCATTTTCAAATTCTCTCAAAGTTTGGGGGGTAGGTTTCTGAATCAGCTGAAATTTTGATGTTCAGCAGGGTTCCATTGAAATTGGAGGTAGGCGCCGAGGCTACGGTTCAGGGATTTGTTGATTCGGTCTAGGGTTTAGGGTTTAGGGTTTAGCGTTTTCTGAGCCAGAAAGCCCCTTCTGAACACAAGTGACTGTTTGGATTCTTCTTGGTGTTTGCGGGCTTCAAGGATCCATACCCTAAACACTACCCCGCAAACTCTACCCCCTAAGGACCCATTCACCGACTCCCTACTAAGCCGAAGCAGGCATGGTGTAAAACAGCAATGGTAAACCCTTGACAAGAACAGCAGTTTTGACAGAACCCGTTGGGGCTTCCGTGCTTGTTAGCGGCAGGTATATTGTAGCTATCCAAGGCCCCAAGCCATGCACATCCTTATATGGGTGGTTGTCAAAATTACGGTCCCTTTGTGGATCCCTATTATAATAAGGCATCCAAGAAGGGACCATAATTTCGACAACCACCCATATATCTCCATAAGGCCCGCTATAGGGATTAGGGTTTAGGCTGTAGAATCCCTATTAATTAGGGCCCATTTTGGTACATTCCGGGCACAGCCGGAACCACGCTCAGGATCGCATTTGCGAATGGTGTTGGCCGAATCTGGCGCCTGGCTTGTTCAGGATTTAGGATTTGGCTCTCACTTGGAAAGAGGGCTGGTGGGGATGATAATGTCTACGGTTTATGGTTCGGGGATATCAGTGTCAGTCGCCAAGTTTTTTTTTTCTGTAGGGGCTATTTTCAGAGCATCTCGCTTTGCATCTTTTGCGCGTTGACCTCCTCGGCGCCACTCAACTAACTTAGAAGCCTATGAATCTTAAGAAGTCATTGGTTGCTGTTTAGCTGTGGCTGCAAGCAAAAAGTTCTAAAGGTAGTATGTTACATCCCTCATCTACCCCAAGTTGCTGAACACATGTTTGCAGCCTAGTCGTATGTGGAAAGGTGCGGAACAGACGGACTCCTCTCGACGCCAGCAACCTCCGCAGCCCCTAGACTGAGAGGTTTATGGGTTAGGACATACAGGGTTTAAGGTGTAGGATATATAGGGTTTATGGCCTCGGGATTTTGCTTACCGCTGGTTAGCAGGGAATGAAGGCATCCAAACATCATGGAAACTACAAATTCTTTCCCCTAATATTAGACCCCCCACCTCTTAATATGAGATACTCCCTATATAACATAGTGTACCCCTGAATGGGAGTACTTACTGTGGGGGGGGGGGGGTGGTTAATTAACATCAAGGGGGAGGGGATTATATCGTTTTGGATCACTTAGGGGTTCCTAGAAGGATCCATTCTTTCATTCCTTGCGAACCAGAGGTAAGTTTAATTACAGTTCAGCGTCTGGCATCATATACTTACTCAACCCAGCCAGCTGCACAGGCGTTCTCCTATGCTCCCTAAAGAGGCAGCCCCATATATAGACTCCCAAAAACCTTTTCATTATTATTGGGAAAAACTACTCTAGGACCACGACTTTCTCCAAAATGTCAGGCACCGTTTCGCCGACACCAGCAAAGTAGAAGCCCCTGGGCCCTAATAAGACCAGCGTAGACCGTCATAGACTCGAGAATCTCTCAAGAGCCCAATGATCCCATTCCAACCCTGGTGCCACTCAGCAGCTAAACCCTGCAAAAAACCCTAAACCCTAAA